TGGAACAACCTGCCTCCAGAAGCGGTGAATGCTCCAACACTGGAAGTTTTTAAGAAGAGACTGGACAGCCATTTGTCCGAAATGGTATAGGGTTTCCTGCCTGAGCAGGGGGTTGGACTAGATGACCTTCAAGGTCCCTTCCAACTTTACTATTATTATTATTATTATTATTATTATTATTATTATTATTATTATTATCCATCCGTCCATCCATCCATTCATTCATTCATCCATTCATTCATTCATTCAGTTTATATAGCTGCTCAATACAACCAAGGGACTTTGAGTTGCTTTAAGTTGTGATCAAACGACATTATCCAAATGATGATTGATCACAAAAAGAAGTCTACTAAACTAATCCACTTATTTTATCTGTTAATATATATGTAACCAACAACAAATACCTTTCCAACAACAAATACCAACAACAAATACCTTTCCAAAACAACCAGTTCATTCCTCAGCTCACTGTCTGCATAGTATTCAATCTGCTTTACACCAAGCCATACTAGACAGTACAAAAAATCAAGGGTTTGTAGCCCATTAGCTTTTTGATGGCTTCCATCACTTCCTTGTTTTTTAGGCTATAGATAAGGGGGTTCAGCATGGGTGTGGAAATACTATACTGAATGGAGAAGAGTTCATCCATAATAATTGAAGAGGCTGAACTGGGCCTCATATACCTAAAGCATCCAGTGCAATAATACAAAGTCCCAGCAATAAGGTGAGCAGCACAAGTAGAGAAAGTTTTCCTTTTTGCTTCTGCAGAGTTCAACTTCAGGATAGTGGAGATGATATGAATGTAGGAAAACAGAATTACAGTGAATGAAGATATGGCAACTGCACTACCAGTGATGAGGAACAGTGTCAAGATGAAGAATGTGTCTGTACAAGATAAGGCAAGTAGAGATGGAAATTCACAACTGAAATGCCTGATAAGATTTGATCTGCAGAAACCCAGCTTCAAAGCAGGTAATATATTTGTCATGGCAAAGAAGAAACCAACTGCCCAGGCACTACCCACCAACCATCTACAACATGCTTTGTTCATGATTTGTACATAATGGAGAGGTTTTCAAATGGCAGCATATCGGTCATAAGCCATTGCTGCAAGAATGCATGTTTCATTAGTTGCTGTTAAAAGAATAAAGAACATTTGGGCAAAGCAAGCAACATATGAAATAGTCTTCTTTTCAATACAAATTTCTAACAGCTTAGGCATGGTGACAGAAGAAAAACAAATATCAAGAAAAGCCAGATGAGCTAAAAAAAAAAAAAAAGTACATGGGACTTGAGAGATATCTTGTAACAACCATAATCACTATATTTTCCAGAAAAGTTAAGGCATAAATGAAGAGAAATATAAAGAAGAGGAAGAGATTCACTGGCAAATTATTCAAGAATCCTGAAAGGACAAAGAAGGTTTTTGTTGTAGTTCAATTTTCTGTTTTCATTTTCATATGTTGTAGAAACTTCCAGAAAGAGAAAATGAACTGTCAATGGCACAGTTTAGGGAATATGGTGCACAACTAAGGGCGGGGATTGATTAGCAGAGAAAAAAATGGAATTGAGAAAACTGTCATTCTCACTTATAAGGCAACCATTGTTCTATACTTCCAAAACAGTAAATGGAGGAAGGAGGGTTTCTTCTTTGAAAATTTTATTTTTTTTGAGTCTGAAATTGCTTTCAAAATGTCCAGGGCTTTAGATCTGAGCTCAATAAAGATGGACTGATCGGCTGATCATCATGTTGACTCTTATCTTATCACAGATTCTTCATTGTGATTTGACCACATTTTCTCCATGATGAATTTAACAACCATATTTTGTCCAAAATGATCTGTCTCCAACTTGATCCTTCAGCTGTAAATATTCAATACACATAAATAAAATCAGGAAACAATTCCACTATCCCAGGAAACAAATAGCTATTTAAAACCGAAGCAGAGGTTATCTGTGTTTGTTCTGAAGCAGCTTTTTGCACTAGAATCTGAAGGCTTCTCTCCCCCCCCCTTGGTACATATTAAGAAAAGAAAAGTGTGCAGAGAGATTCACATAACAATGAAATACTTTAGATAAAGAAAAATAAACTTTTCTTGGCCAATGTACTATAAAATTTCCCCCAGCTTGCACAGCCTCTAACACATACTGCACCGACACAGAATCCTCTTCTTTTATTGAGCTATTTCAATTAATCTGATTAACAGACTTTCTGAATAAAAGTTATACTGAAGTTTTGATGAACCAGATTAGAATTAGTGATTCTAATCAGTTGGTGATTCTAAGCAGTTTTGTACAACCTCGGCAAAGAGACAACATAAAGTAGCAGTAAAACAACTT